GCAAGTTGCCCAGACGGGTCCAGTCGAACCCATGGGCTCAGGCAATCCACTCACCTCAGCCTCCCAAAGCACAGGATTACAGGCTGAGCCACTGAGCCCGGCCTGATTAGCTTTTATAGTAAAAAAACTAGTCTCATTTTAAAAATTAAAGTCAATTAAAAAAATCCTACTGAATTTACATGTGAATTAACTTTCCTGGTGACCTTGGAGAGAGGTGACCCTCTCTGTAATACCAAATGTCCCCTTTGAGGACAGGCTTGTTTCTCTACTATCCAAACCCTCTTCACTCTCCCTGAAAGCTGAGAAGTGCCTGTCTGTCACCAGGCATGCCTCCTAGTGGCCTTGGTGCACTTGCTCCAAGTCAGCAAGGAGCTCACGGTAACAATGAATAACCTTTTGGTAGAACAAGTCTTCTTACATTATGACATCATTATTTTTACAAATCAGCTTAGAACTGGCTTGTTTCTAGCTTAAAGTCATTTTAAGAATTGATACCTTTTATTTATTTATTTTTTGAGTTGGAGTCTCACTCTGTCGCCCAGGCTGGAGTGCAGTGGCAAGCTCATGGCCACCACAGCCTCGACCTGCTAGGCTGAGATGATCCTTTCACCTCAGCCTTCCAAGTAGCTGGAATTATAGGTACGTGCCACCATGCCTGGCTAAATTTTTTGATTTATTACAGAGATGAGGTCTCGCCAAGTTGCCCAGGCTGGTCTTGAACTTGTGGGCTCATGCAATCATCTCACATAGGCCTCCCAAAGTGCTGGGATTGTAGGCATGTGCCACTGTGCCCAGCCTGTATAGAGAATTTAAAACCTATATTTATAAGTGAAGTTCATAGGAAAATCTGTAGTTTTCTCTGTTAGGGTTACCTCTGTCAGGTTCTGGTATCAGCATTATGCACATTTATACACATACGTATAACTTTTCTTATTTCTTTTTTTTTTTAATTAAAAAAAAATTTTTTTTGAGTCGGAGTCTCACTCTGTCACCCAGACTGGAGTGCAGTGGCATGCTCATGGCCACCACAGCCTTGACCTGCTGGGTTCAGGTGATCTTTTTGCCTCAGCCCTCCAAGTATCTGAATCTATGGGCATGCACCACCATGCTTGGCTAATTTTTTTGATTTTATTGTTGAGACGAGGTCTCGCCAAGTTGCCCAGGCTGGTCTCGAACCTGTGGGCTCAGGCAATCCTCTCGCCTCCACCTCCCAAAGTGCTGGGATTACAGGTGTGAGCCTCCGGGCCTGGTCCTTCCTTACTTTTCTATGCTTTAGAATGTTTCAGATGGTATAGAAAAATTTTATTCCCTAAAGTCTTGAAATAATTTACCCATAAAACTGTTTGGGCATGCTGCTTTCTGAGGAGTAGCTGTTGATTACTTTCTTAATTTTTTTCTTTGGATACCAGTCTATATAACTGCTTTTTCTTTTTTGAGTTGATGCCTCATTCTATCACTCAGGCTGAAGTGCAGTGGCACAATCACAGCTTACCACAATCTTGACCTGGGCTCAGGTGATCCTTCCACCTCAGCCTCCTGAGAAACTGGGACTATAGGTGCACACCACCACGGCCAGCTAACTTTTTGACTTTTTTTATTAGTGACAAGGTCTCACAATATTGCCTGGGCTGGTATCAAACTCCTGGGTTCAAGTGATCCTCTTGCCTTGGCATCCCCAAGTGCTGGGATTATAGGCCTGAGCACCGTGCCCAGATGGCCTATAACATTCTTCTCATGACACTCACTCCCACACTCCTCCTTACACCTGCACGCACGCCCGTAACCGAGACCCCGCCGCCGCCTGCTCGCCCGCCTTCAGCCTGGCGGGCGTCTGCGCGAGCCCGGCCGGCGCGGGAGATGTGCTCGGGCACTGCCGGGTCGGTTTCTCGGGGTTTGACCAGCTGTCCCGGCCTAACCCTGCTCCTTGCTGAAGATGGAGGAAGTAAAAACAGGATTACCCTTAGCCACAGAGCCACTGCCTTAGTTTCCACCTCCAACTGCAATGCACAACACACGTTAGGCACAGGGAAGAAAGAGAGAGAGAGAGAGGACACCGTAACAGTAAACACAAACAAAAGGGTGATGGGACTGATTTACTGCAGGCATTGCACTTTGACTATGGAAACAGAGGCTACTGATGGCTATATGACGTGTGACAATGTGCTTTCACCTGAAAGAGAGCACTCCAATATGGCAATTGACCTCACCTCAAGCACACCCAATGGACAGCATGCCTCACCAAGTCACATGACAAGCAATGAGCAAATCTGCTCTTTAATGGTGAGAGAAACAGAAAATTCTACAATTAGAATGTTGAGAATCTAATGGAAAAATGGATAAATCAGTGCATGCACACATGCTTAAAATGAAAAAAAAAAAAATTCTTCTCATTTGCTATGTAAATAAAAAATATTGCCGGGCACGGTGGCTCATGTCTCCGGCAATCCTAGCACTTTGGGAGGCAGAGATGAGAGGACTGCCCAGTCCGGGCTCGAGACTAGCCTGGGCAAGTTGGTGAGACCTCGTCTCTACACTAAATAAAATAATTGGCCAGGCTCGGTGGCTCAGTCTGTAATTCCACCACTTTGGGAGACTGAGATGAATGGACTGCCTGGGCCGCAGGCTCGAGACAAGTCCAGGCAACTTGGCAAGACCTCCTCTCTACAATAAACAAAAATTAGCTGGGTGTGGTAGATACTCCTGCAGTTCAGGTTACTTGGAAGGCTGAGGTGGAAGGATTGCCGGAGCCCAGCGGGTGGATGCTGGGGTCGCCGTGAGTATGCCACAGGCCACAGCACTCCAGCCTGGGCAAGAGTGAGACCACAACTCAAAAAAGAAAAGAAATTAGTCAGGTATGGTGGCATGTGCCCGTGGTTCCAGCTATTTGGAAGGCTGAGGTGGAAGGATCACCTGAGCCCAGCAGGCCGAGGCTGTGGTGGCAATGAGCGCGTCACTGTACTCCAGCCTGGGCGACAGAGTGAGACTCCTACTCAAAAAAAAAAAAAAAAAATTTTTTTTATCATTGAAATACATCAATATTTCTCTCTATAGAGCAATGGGCAACCATGTATCTACTCACAGTAGGGTCGGTCCAGAGAGAGCATCTTGAACACTCCTGGCAAGGGGCACCTGGTGAGCGGGGATGCTGACAGAAATGGTCATATCCATTGATAGATATTCGACAGAGGTAGCACATTTGGGCCCCGCAGCGGCAAGACATGCGATTGCAGCCCTCGGATTTGATGAGACCGGTCCCACACTTGTGGCATTTTCTAATGCGAGCAGCAGTCATTTTTTCTTCACTGAAAAAGAAAACATGATTGGAGCTGACAGGGGAGATGGGAAGGAAAGAAAAATAATATGGCCATTATGTATTTATTTCTTTCCACATAAAATAACTGTACAGCTTTTGGTGACATTCAAACAGTCAAGCCTATGTTTTGGAGTCTGAAAACTGAGTTCAAAGTTTATCAATTGTATGATCTTAGGCAAATTACCCAACTGCCTAGAGATGCAGTTTCCTTATTTTTATTTGTTTATTTACTTTTTTTTTTTTTTT